CTGCTACCTCTTCCCTCATCCTCCATACTGAAATATGCCTATTCAGCCCTCAAGACTCCTTTTAAAAACATTTCTAAAGTCCTTTCTAGCTGGAATTAATCTTTCTCTTTCCAACGTCAATAACCATTTTTTTCTGTTCCTTGAGGCTGTCATTTTCTATATGTTGTTAAAACTTTTATGTACATATTTTATTTCTCTAAATAGATATGGGTAGATCTGATTCATCTTTTCTTATCCTGTAAAACTCTTTGCACAACACCTAGTCCTCAGTTCAGTAGAAAATAAGTCCTTACTGATTAATTACAATAAGACCAACAACAACAAAACCCTAAGGCAGTTATTTTTTGTTTCATCCAAAAAAGCCACATTTTTATTTGAGCAATTCTATATATGAACAAACCAACTTAAATAAGAATTCTTAAGTTATGTTCCTAATTTATACGAAAGCCAAAGACAACTCATACTAGTCTTCTTAGTCTGATAGCTTGTTCCTGAGTACGTGTTCTTATCCTTTTCAGCCTCCAGGTCCTTTTTTGGGCAAGTCATGAACCTTAAAATCAGGGCTAAATAATACAGGCACTGACATATTCCAAATTACATCATAGTTTCTTTCAACAGCCTCTTTCTAATAATCCAAACAAGAGCACTTGACACTCAGGTAGAATACTGCATTCAAATAGCTTGAAATTTGGACAAACAAATTGAGCTCACTAACCTGTCACATCCCCTGCCTCTGAAATAGATCCTGGTGTAAGTGGAAAACTGTCTGTTAATATATCCTGTTAATATATCCTTTATGATGAAGCCGCACCAGGAGAAGGATCAGTTGGTATTATCATGACGTTTGGGCAACTGTTTCTTTCCTCTTGTGCATTGGAGGCATACCTTATTTTTAATAATAATATAAAAAGACATGACAGGTGTTTCAAAAGTTACTAAATATGTGCTTCTTTGTTCTTTCCAATATAATTTTTCACCACCATCAACTGATTTAAAAAGAAAACCACGGTACATGACTTGCTTGCATGATATCCCCATGTTTCCCCATTGGACCCAGCATCCAGACCACTAACAGAGGGCTGGGAAGTGCCCTTCCGGGATGTGCAAAAGGTACACTTAAAGGTGCAGCTGCGGGAGGTGGCGAGGACGGTAGTGAGCAGGCTCACCCTCATCTGTGTGCACCTGTGAATTACCTACTCCTCCCTGGTATCACTTTCTCTTTCATGCCTTTTCATATCTCTGAATTTAGAATAGGTTTCAGTTCCCTTCAGCTTCCCATATTTATGGGGACATCTCAGCCATGAGCTAGGCCTCGTATCTCTTTCTCTGAAATCAAAGATCTGAAATTTAGAAAGGAAGTGATGTCTAAATATCACTTACAAATCATCTTCCTCTCTTCTCACAAATTCTGTTTCAGGAATAAATAAATGTGTGCGTGTGTTCACATATGTGTATGTGTGTGTATTTCAGGTAACCATGTCACTGAATACTGCTGTTCATACTAAATAGGAGCAGGGAGCATTGGGGATTGTCTGAAGAAATGGTGAAAAGTATGTACAATCACACTGAACATGGCAGAAGCCCAGGTGATAGGATCGATCTTCCACTTCCTTTAAGAGATGAAAGGAACTGGGAAAGTAGCCAGTGAAATGCCATAATCCTTTTGCCCTCAGAGGAGCATCTGATTCCAAACAATGTTAAATCCATCCTCCAAGAACAGCTGTCACCAGAGAGACGCAGCCTCACTAGGGATAATCTGTTAGTTCTTTGACAGATCACCTAAGTGGAAATCAAAAACACAAGGCCCTCACTTTCCCATTTAGTTGAAATATGCCAGAAAATCAAGCTTCTTTTCAATCTTGGGCCAGGTCTACCAGGCTACCTTCGATGGTATCTCCCCACGGCGGTCTGTTGATATTATTTTCCTTTACGGACCTGATAAATTCTTAAAACAAGAATATACCTTTTAATGTGTTTTCTTAATTGGTAGATGTTATGGGTTGAATTGTGTTCTCCATAAATTCATATGTTGAAACCCTAACCCCTACTACTTAAAATGTGACTGTGTTTGGAGATAGGGCCTATAAGAAGGTAAAGTTAAATGATGTCATATTGGCGGGGCCCTAGTCTGATAAGATTGGTATCCTTATGATACCTTGTCATATTGGCGGGGCCCTAGTCTGATAAGATTGGTATCCTTATGATACCAAGAGGAAGCCAAGGAGAGAGACTCCGGAAGAAACCAATTTGAGGATATCTTGGACTTGCAGCCTCCAGAGATGTGAGAAAATAAATTTTGTTGTTTAAGCCACTCAGCTCGTGGTATTTTGTTATGCAGCCCTAGCAAACTAATGCAATAGTTTTTGGTTATTTGTTAGTTATGGATTGTCCAAAGTGATTTTCTTCTGTATAATTAGTAACACATGCCTTCTTTCTTTCTTTCCCTTTTTATTGGCTGAGGGAGGGGCGGGGTCGGTTTTCTTTTATCCTATATAGTTATTAATACCTGTTCGATAGCTCAGATAGAGTTCAAGTTCCTAACATTGTTGAAGAGAATATCCTAAGGTTCTTGTCATCTCTTCAGCTTTGACACACTATCTCATTTGTTCTTTTCAGTAACCCTGAGAGTAGGGTAGGAATTATTTTTATCATTTTATAAATAAAGAAATAAACTTAACTGAATGATATACCCAGGCAATAAGACTGAGCTTATAACCAAGACTTTTGATCCCCCTCTCTCTGCCTTTGTTGGGCCACCCTGGGTGCGGTCCCCCAGTGGGGTTACCAGGAGGAGTGTGATCCAAGGGTCAGGGAGTAGGGAGTTGGCAGACAAATATTCTCCACCTGCTACTGCTGATGATGTCTTGTGTGACTTAAACCAGTTGAAAGGATTCTTCTGTCCAAAATATGGGGGCAATGATGCCTCCTCATAAAATGGAATAGACATTTGAATAACTTAATTCCGGAACATTTTGAGGATCATGAATGTTGACCTGAAGTTGTACAATAAATTTTTTACCCTCTGATGTATTAAAAGGAAAAAAAATGACCAGTGTTTTTCAAGTATTTTGTGGTCACTAGATACCATAAATAACAATAGCAGGTACATTTATCAGGCGCTAATTATGCCAGATGTTATATACGTGATGTTCTATTCATACACTATCTTATTTACTTCTCATACAATCTATGAAATAAGTACTGTTCTTGTCCAATTTTACAGATGAAGAAACTGAGCCTTAGAAATGTCAAGAAACTTGCTCAGTGTCACTCACTGAATAGGTAGGTGGCAGAATTGGAATGTAAACTCAAATCAATTAGAACATAAAAAATTTATGCTTTTAACCAAAGTATATTTCTGTAAGAACTGAATTTTCAAAAGCTGCCTTTTTAAATATCTTCTAACAATGTATCCCGTGAACTATTGAACTGTCCTGGAAATGGACAGCCAAACAACTGCATTTCCCAGATTGCCTCCCTCAGACTCAAAATAACACAGAAATCCTTTGTAAGACCACAGGTCCTGGTTCTTGGGGTGGAAAATGCAGGCACTGCCAGTTAGGCAGATTACCAAATCTCAGAGAATTAGAGTGCAAAGCAATGCGCTCAAAATTATTCAGAGCATCGTGTTGTCTTCTGTGATTTGGAAGGCACTGACGGACTTTATTAGTGTATGGACGTCGTTCTTATGAATCTCAGACTTCATTTATAATCCTGAAATGCAGAAATGCAGGTTTCCAGCAAGTTTCAACTGATGAAAATCTGGATGGAAGGAACTCACTGTGCTGGTATTAATTATTTAAGCAGTGCTTTCTTGAGGGACTGCCATGGCCTACAAACGGGGCTCCATAAGCTGTTCTCTCATATTATAAATATTTAGAATATCACACTATCTATATTTCAAATGTGGGCTTTAATTAGACACCTCATTATGCTGTGCCTTGTTGTTTTGTGGTCATTTAGTTTTGTTTGTTGAGCATCAGAAGAGGGGGGTGACGGGGCCACAGTAGAGGAAGGATTCTAGAAATTCACGATCAACAAAGTCGTTTTGATTCGCAAATGTGGTCCATGACCTCAAAGATTTAAGAACCACTGATTCAAGATGATTTTCATTCTAATATCCAAATACCCTCTCACATCTATAATTGTACCAGTCGAAAGAGTTGTTTAGTTAGGCACATTCAACTCATATAATTTACCCCAAACTGGGGGTAAGGTGGTGAGGGAGAGAGGGGCAGCAAAAACTCAAGTATCTCTTTATAGTCATCATTCTAAGCCCATTTTTGCTTTGGTTCTAACATCACCATATTTTGTTTAGAGCACCTCATGTGGCCAAAAAAAAGGCAACTATAAATGAACTCTTTCAAACTAAAGCCTTGCCTGTTTCTCAGGCTGTCTAGGAGTCAATAAAAAAAGATCTATTGTAGCATTTCTAATTCATGCCAAGTGAGCTGTTATCAGTTCTCATATTGATTTTTATCTCTATGCCATATTTTATCTCAAAATGCCACAGCCCAAGATGGGGTCCCACCAAACCTGTTCCTTTATTTATCCTTTCATCTCCCAGTTATCATTTTTTTTTTTTACATCATTGACAACTTCTCGCTGTGCCCACTTCCCCCAAAATATCAATTGCTGATTCGATTTTTCATTTCTTGTCTCTTTAAGTCGGAAACTTCCTGAGGTTCCTAAGCTGCCTGCCTCAGCAGGCGTCCAGGACTCTAAGCAAGTCTCCATTGCAGTGAGATTTGCAAGTGAATCTCCCGGATCTGAAAAGCATCAGATCCCTATCTATCTCCTCTGACTTCCAGGCATCTACACCCACACCAGTGAATTTCAACACATCCTAGGAACCTGTCGGAGGTTTGAAACCAAATCTATCGATGTTGGCAGCTCCAAAAAAAGGAAAATTCCCTAAACTGAACAAAACAAAACCAATACGAAATCCAACTAACAAACACACAAAAAGCAACAAAATTATTTAAGACTCAAATGCCTACCTTACAGATTGCCCAAAGCTTTTTGCTCACACATGGAGCTTCCCTCCTCCCTGGCTGTTTTCTGACTCTCCAATAGCTGTGCTTTCTTACACTGAGCAACAGTCTCAAGTGTCGGGCTCTGAAATACACATGCTACACACGCCCATACAGCCTTTTCGGTGCCAGGCAGCCCCTTCGCCTCTCTTCCCAGCCCCCGGCCAGCCCGTGCCAATTTCCTGACCGCTGCTAACTCCTACAAGGAAAGGAATGGGGAAGGGAGCCGTCAGGGGTTGGGATCCATGCAACTCCCCATGGGTTGGGTGGGCGGTCACCCATCTAGGCAGAAAGGGTCCATCTTATCCCTTTTCTAACCTGAAACTCCCTTCACAGATGGTTTCTCCAGGCTCATTCAGATCCCAGAACAAGTTGGCAGACTCCTGCTAGCGTTCCTTGCATGTACCCAGACCTCTCTGAGGCGGCAGCCCCCAGCCAGCGGGGCACGGATCACCTCTTACCTTCACAAAGCCCCAGTTCTTAAAAGCCTGACTGAGGTCTCCAAGGAGCCATGCGTTTTACTTGACATTGGAAGCAACCAGTTTCAGAAGCAGGGAACATTTCGAAATGAAACGGAAAGTAAGCCGGTGATCCAAACCAGACCCCCGACCTGCACTTGGCCCTCGGCAGCCTCTGTGAGTCTTCAAACTCAGCCCCGCCCGCCAAACTGTTTCAGCCTGGAGAGAATTCAGAGGCAACTGCAGCTTGGAAGTCCCTAACTCAAGGCCTGAGCTGATTTTTTTTTTTTTTTTTTTTTGAGTATTTGTTGAGCTTTTTAACATGCAGGTTGTCTCTTTCTGCAGGGAATTACTCAGTGAGCCTGTCACCTGACTCACAGCAATTCCATTATATAATTCAAACTGTGCTATTTGAGTTCTGATCAGAAAGCCAGGCTCCCCTCCCCATTCCCCCAGCAGCCTGTCCCCACCCTAAGTGGAGGGAGAGGCAGAAAGGGAGACACTCAAAACACCAAACAATGACAATTAACCTTTCTTGAAACAGGAGGATAACGCTTCATTTTCACAGTGTATTTTTATTTTCCTTTGGTTTGATTCTTGGTTGGAGGACCTCCTAAATGCCAATGCTGAGTTAGCAAGGATTTCTCAAGATGTAACATCTCAAGATGTAACTGTAGCAGTTTCCTTGATTTTCTTTTAGGGTGACTGTCCCTATATTATTAGATAGATCACTGAATGAATATTCAAATGATAGTGTGCATCAGTTTAAAAGCCTCGCAATAGATTTATAACACATGTGCAAATGAAATCTAACACCTAGACTGTTTATTAATTTTGTTACATATCTAACTTCTGTGAAATGCCAAAGGGGTAGCTTGGGCCGAGGGGTCTTTAGCCAACCCTCTCCAACTACCTCAAACAAGCGTAACATTCAACTGAAAACTGCATGCTTGCTATGCAAACACGTCTTAAAGGCCAAACCCCCAGCCTCTACTTTCAACCACATTGAAATCCCTAAAGCCAATCCTTATGGATATTTTGAAGCCACCACTGTCTTGGAAGATAATGTTCATTTCAGTCTGTTGCAACTTCCCTTTCTTAGACTCTGTCTTCTCCATCCAGGTGATATAAATTGAGGGGAAGCATGTTAAAACAAATTAACCCATGAGTGACAGGTTTTCGGAGAAATCTAGATGGCATAAATGACGATAACACTTAAAGCATCATGAAACACGAAGATCAACATAAAAAACCTCAATCTGTTCACTTTTTCCATGTCAGAGCTGGAATGAAGAGGGACCTCTGGGCTCCTAATCTCCCAGCTAGTGGAAACTTGCAGCTAAATATGGGAAGTACTTGAAAAAGACCGTTAAAGTCTGTGGGAACAAATGCTAACACTGATCAACCTTCTTTTGGTTGTTTTCCTAGTCTGACCTCTTTTCTTCTTTCTGCATCCCCCCACCCATATCCAACAAAGGAAACTACCTGGATTTTCCTTCCTGTCTCCAGCATTTTAAGTAATATTAGGTGTCATCGCTATATTAAACTGTGTGACGTTAGACAGCTACAGTGCCCTAAGAATAATTTTCAAATTACTTTGTAATTATCTACCCACATATCTCACTGAAAGGATATGAGATAGTTACTGTTCTCCTTGTACAGACCCAAGGAAGCCAGTGGCATAGGCAGAAACTAAAAGTGAGGTCTCCTACTCTCGGTGCTCTATTTTGCAAAAGAAGACCCAGATATACATGAAAAAATTATGAATGTGTAAACATGAATGACAGATTGTTGTCTGTGTATATCTCTCCCTCCAGGTGTAGTAAATGCAATGTGTTATGGCAGTTGCTATAGTAATTACTTTCTTAATGAGAATAAAGATACAGAGTAAGATATTACAAAACATCAGGTGGTGAGACCCTCCTCAGTAATGGAAAGAAAAGCCATAATGTATAATATACCCTTTGTCCGTATACTCCAGTCTCCTAGACCAGTGCTGTCCAATAGAAATATAATGTGAGCCACATATGTAATTTAAAATTTTCTAACAGTCCCACTGAAAAAGAAGAGAACCCTGGTGAAATTAATTTTGGTAGTATATTTTATTTAATCCAATCTATCCAAAATGTTATTTCAGCATGTAATCAATATAAAAATTATTAACAAAGTATTTTGTGTTCTTGTCTATATTCTAAGCCTCTGAAATCTGATATGAATTACATGTATTTTATACTATCTCACATCTCAATTAAGAGTAGCTACATTTCAAATGCTCAGTTGAGCCACATGTGGCCAGTGATGACCACAAGAGACGGCCCAGCCCCAGATTGTATGTGATCATTTTTGGTTTGGAAATTTTTCTTTGAGTACATGAGCAATCGTCTATCCCTACTTGGAACTTTTAGAAAAATAAGTGGCATTCACTCAGTTCTAGCCTTATGGCATAATCCAAGTGGTATTTTCTTGAATGGAGCAAGAAAATGTCAAATAAGCTTGGAATTGAAATGGTATTAAAGATTCAGCTCTGTTCATGCCACTAGAGGATGGTGATGATTAAAAATAAATCTCAGGTTTATAACAAATTCTTTCCTTGGGCTGCTCCAATCTCGCAAGTTAGGGACCTCAGAGTTAGGTTTGACTCTTAATTTCTGCGTAATCTCTGTCTGTGTCTTCTCTTCGCAGCTCATTTAATAGACCACTAAGTCTTATCAAGTCTACCTGTCACCTTTTCTCAAGTCCCAGGGCTTCTGCTACAACCCAGACAATCCCAAGACCACCAGCCTGGTCTCATTGCCCCCACTGTTTACCCATTCAAGTTCGTTTTCTATCTTGCCTTCGGTGCGAACATGCATTGAAAGTAGCCATTTAATCAGGTAGCTTCTCAGCTTAAAGCCTTTAATAGCAAGTTGCTGCCTTTCAAATAAAATCGTTTGCCATGATCTACTAGGCATACTCCTTTCTGTGACCCACTAGGCAATCGTAAACTGCCCTCTGGGGAACTTTCCTGCCCATCTCCAGGATACACATTCTTTGTTTTTACCCTGGCCCACATACGTGACTGTGCCAAAATTTCTTCCATGACTTCATGCCTTTGTTCATAGTCTGTTCTCCCTGCCTGGAATGTCCTTCCTTAAAATGCCTAGCCCTCACTAAATAAAAAAAGTTTTGAGCCTATCTTAAGTATTTATCGTAGCTTTTCTTGATCTTTCAGTCACACTTAACAGTCCTCTCATCTATGTCATCACACTACTTTTATAAATTGATGTATTATAATATTTATCACATTCAATTATAATTATGTGCTATGCTAGACAAGAACTTCAGCAAGAACCTCATGCCTTTTATCTTTGAATTCACCTTGGGCCATAGTAAGATCTCAGTAGGTGCCTGAGGAATTCCAATGCCCTTTCCTGTCCACTTCTCTCCCTTCCAATTGTCTAACCACTTGGTACATCATCTCCATCATCACTATCACCACAGCAGCCAATATTTATTAGCACTACTATGCACAAGGCACTGAGTTAAGCATTTTACATACATTTTACTTGATTCTAACAACAAATTCTGTAAATTAGGGACTTATCCTTTGTGTTTAATAGCTGTGGCATCTTTAATACTGTTTCCTTCTTTCAACAACTGTTTTGAAGTCATTCTTATAACACCTTTTATAACAGGCCAATGTGCAGTTATGTCTCCTAGAGTGCAGGATTTCATACTCTTTTGTTAACTTATTTGTTAACAGACAAATACATGTGTCTTTTGTTTTATATTTTTAGTGTGTCCATCTCTTTAACACTTCCAATTCCTAGTGGCCCAAGAAAACAGAAAACCTAACAATAGTATTTTGTGCAGAGTAAGTATATGGTGGCTTTGAGTAAGGGCATGAGAAACCATGTGCCATGTGAGCATCGCAGGATGCGACATTTAGTTTTGCATCTCAGAGTCATTGTTTTGGCTTTTATTTTTGGCTCTCTAGTCATTTCCACATAATTCAGTTTAGTAGTCTTTTAAAAAGTGAAGGCATCAACACCAAGTGCTGGAGAGGCTGTGGAGCCACAGGAACTCTCATGCATTGCTGTTGAGAATGCAGAATGGTACAGCCATTTTGAAAGAAACTTTTGTGGTTTTTTACAAAATTAAACATAATTCTGCTGCAATTATACTCCTTGGTATTTACCCAAATAGACTGAAAATTTATGTCCACATAGAAATGTGCACACGGATAAGTAAACTGTAGCACATCCATGCAAAGGAATATTATTCAGTGCTAAAAGAAATGAGCAATGAAGCCATGAAAAAGACATGGAAAAACCTTAAATATCTATTACTAAGTGAAAGAAGCTAATATGAAAAGGTTCCATACTGTGCGATTCCAGCTATATGACATTCTGAAAAAGGCAAAACCATGGTGACAGTAAAAAGATCAGTGGTTGTCAAGGGTTGGAGAGAAGGAATGATGAATGGGCCGAGCATAGATAATTTTTAAGGCAGTGAAACTACTATGTAGGGTACCACAATGGTGGGTATATGTCATTATATATTTGTCCAAACCTATGGAATGCACAACACCAAGAGTGAACTTTTAGGTAAACTATGGTCTTTGGATGATAATGATGTGCAAAGTAGATTCATCAGTTGTAACCAATGTAGAGGTCTGGTGGCGGGTGCTGATAGTGGGGGAGGCTGTGCGTAGGTGGGGGCAGGGGGCATATGGGAACTCTTTGTACTTTCTGCTTAATTTTGCTGTGCACTTAAACTTGCTCTAAAAAAATGAAGTCTATTTTTTTGAGCGGAGGGACCATGGATGCCCAGGGATTGTGCTCAGTGGGTTCCGGTGTGATATACAGGTTGTTTTCCCACTAGATTGTCAGTTGCCCAAGTTTATTGTTTTTTCTCTTTTGTTTCCACAAGACCACTAAACTAATGAGAATGTATTTACTAAGGGATTAATAAATATTTGTTTAAATGAAATGAAGAACTTATGTTTCATATAATAAATACATAGTTCCACCCACATAAACCCCATAAAAACTTTAGTGTCAACAGAAAAGCTATTACTGAT